GGACAAAAGCTCAGTCCATTTTTAGCCAAACTGAAGTAGGGTATCTCGTCGAGTGCGTCAAGCCGAACGAGTGACAACAAATTAACGAGAACCAGTCGTCTTTTATCAGTAAGCAATAAATCAAACAATAAATCAAAGTCATCAGAATAATGAAATCAGTTGTGCCAGATTCCTGCAAACAATGAGGACTGGGTTTTGAAGACTTATTTCGATATGTAATAATGGCTTAGCTTAGAAATCTCATCTATCTAAAAAAGTATGCGATTTCCCCATCTTAGACGCTTTAATATTTCGTTCACTCAAGAACTTTATAGTAAGTCCGCTGGATGAACTTAGCTTCAAATATAAGTTACCTATTTATAGGTGCTGAAATAAGGCTAAAATTGGACGAGTAACTCAAAGTAAATCTTTACTGCAAAAGAATGCAGTAATAAAGGCTATCCCGTGAAAACGGAAATCCAGGTATAGTTAATGAAAACTCGCGAGAACTATCGTTTTTAATAACAGAAATCACCCTATGTTAAATATAGCCAGATATTTACCTTATTCTTCAAAACAATAGCAACTTACTCGCCCTCGCTTGTCTCGCGATGCCCCAGAATCCTGAGCTTTCATTAGTGCATTCTAAACTATCTGCTCGCTTGAAAGATCGTGCTTTTTTTAAAAGTACACATCCGCCTGTCCCTAACCCATAGGTCTGGCTATTGGTTGAACTGGTTGCATAAGAACCTCGTGTACGACTTGAAGATGGTGTTGATGGACTGGTAAATTCAATGGAGCGAGCCTGATGGTAAGTGAGAAGGCGATGAGACTTTGAGGCTCTCGAGGTTAGAATCGGGGAAATGGATGAGACAGATTTATTTGGTCGATTGATCAAAATTGACGAAGAGGAGCCGGGAGAGGTCATAAATTCAAATTCTGTTTTAGGCCCAACTCGTGAACTGCTAGGTAATCCACGGACCAACTCACGGGAGCTTACATCACAGTGAGAGTCAGGCTGAGCATGACTCGGTTGTGGGCTAACCGTCATTCTACTAGCGATTTGACCTGCGGCAGAAAAATCTGGGCTGAATTCCGGCTCAAGATCGAGATCAAGATCAGGGTCGACTACCATCTCGTTTTCCTCTTCCTCTCCAGCTG